TAGTTTTTAGTGTATGGCTCTTGCACACATCTTTTGTTAGACTTTTCCCTGAACATTTCTTTTTTTTTTTTTACATAGACATATCTTTATATTCACTTTCTTTTTTTAAGGTATCATTGATATACATACACTCTTATGAAGGTTTCACATGAAAAAACAATGTGGTCACTACATTCACCCATGTTATCGTGTCCCCCCCATACCCCACTGCAGTCACTGCCCAACAGTATAGTAAGATGCTACAGAGTCACTATTTGCCTTCTCTGTGCTACTCTGTCTTCCCCATGATCCCCCCCACACCATGTGTGCCAATCATAATACCCCTCAATCCCCTTCTCCCTCCCTCGCCACACACCCTCCCCCATCCCTCCCCTTTGGTAACTGCTAGTCCCTTCTTGGAGTCTATGAGTCTGTGAGTCTGTTGCTGTTTTGTTCCTTCAGTTTTGCTTCATTGTTATACTCCACAAATGAGGTAAATCATTTGGTACTTGTCTTTCTCTGCCTGACTTAGTTCACTGACTATAATACACTCTAACTCCATCCATATTGTTACAAATGGTAGGATTTGTTTCTTTCTTATGGCTGAATAGTATTCCATTGTGTATATGTACCACATCTTTATCCATTCATCTACTGATGGACACTCAGGTTGCTTCTATATCTTGGCTATTATAAATAGTGCTGTGATAAACATAGGGGTGCATATGACTTTGAATCTGAGAAGTTGTTTTCTTTGGGTGAATTCCTAGGAGTAGAATTCCTGGTGAACATTGCATATTTTTGAGGCTATTATAAATGGTATTTTAAGAAATTTCAATTTCCAATTGCTCATCACTATGATATAGAAATTTAATGAATTTTTTATTGCACTTTATTTTTTAGAGCAGTTTTAGTTTCACAGCCAATAAAATTGATTTTCATATATTGATCTTGGATCTTCACACTTGCTAAACTCTAGTAGTTTTTTGGATGATCCCATAAGATTTTATATACAATCATGTAGTCTACAATACAAAGACAGCTTTACTTCTTTCTTTACAATCTGGTTGCCTTTTACTTCTCTTTTTATTTATTTGTTTGTTTGTTTATATTTTAAACTTTATAGATCATTGAAAGGATTGATCATCTTTTAATGGCCAATTGTGATAATCAAATTTGAAAAACATTAGTTTAATCAATGAGCAACCTCATGATCTATGTAGGTGAAAGTCTTTTATCTTATTTGCAATTTGCAGAAGAAATTATAGAGACAGTGTTACAGCTCTTAAGAAATGAACACAAATAGTATTATAAATGATATACAGCATTATAAATTATGTAAAGGGTTAAATTATTGCAATAATGAAGCTCAAATTCTGCAAAGCTGTTACTCAAAGTACACAGTTTGACTTAGGAGGTGATTGGCAATGGCAATAAATCAAATTTTCAAATGTTAGGTTGATTATTGGACTAGATTAGGAATGGGAAAGGAAGTCTGATGTCAGAGTTTTTCATTGATATCATTGCTCCATTCAGAAGTGTGGTAGGTTTACTGATCATGGCAAGGGCAATTATTTCTCATTCTTGACTTAGTTCACTGTCTAAAACTTCCAGTACAATGTTGCATGGAAGTGATAACGGCAGACATCCTTGCCTTATTCCTGAACTTAGGGGGAAAGCATTCAGTATTTTACTACTGAGTATATTGTTAGTTCTAGGCTTTTCATAGATTCCTTCATGAGTTCGGGGATATTCCCAACTACTTCTAGTTTGCTAGGAGTTTTTTTCAGGAACAGATATTGATTTTGTCAAAAAATTTTTAATGTATCTATTGAGATAATCATATGATTTTTCTTCTTTAGCCTGTTAATGTGGTGAATAGTATTGATTGATTTTTGAATGATGAACCAACCTTGCTTGCATTCCTGAAGGTCAACTCCTTTGGTAATGTTGTTACCTTTTTATATGTTAAACTCCTTTTTATATGTTGTTGGTTTCAAGTTGATAAGATTTTGTTAATATTTGCATCTTTGTTCATGAGGGATGTTGTTATGTAGTTCTCTTTGTCATCTTTGGTTTTAGTATTAGATAGTGCTGCCCTCATAGAAATTTCCTCCTCTTCTTCTCTAAGAGTTTGTGTAGAATTGGTATTATTTCTTCCTTAAATCTTGGTAGAAGTCACTAGTGAAGCCATGTGGACCTGCAGTCTTGTGGGATGATTAAATAAATTCAATGTCTTTAATTTATATATAGGATTATTCAGATTATGTTTCTTGTGTGAACTTTGGTATTTCATGTTTTTTAAAATATTTTGTCCATTTCCTCTATATTGTCAAATTTATTGGCATAACACTGTTCTACATCAGGATATAGAATCTACATCAGGATTACCTTTATCTTTTTTTTAATTTTTTAAATTTTGCTATCATTAATGTATAATTACGTGAACAATGTTATGGTTACTAGACTCCCCCTCTTATCAAGTCCCTACCACATACCCCATTACAGTCACTGTCCATCAGCTATAGAATCACTACTTGTCTTCTCTGTGTTGTACAGCCCTCCCCATGTTGCCCCCCACCGACTACATTATATGTACTAATCGTAATGATCCTTTTCCCCCTTAACCCTCCCTTCCCACCCATCCTCCCCAGTCCCTCTCCCTTTGGTAACTGTTAGTCCATTCTTGGGTTCTGTGA